GTGTAATACTGGGAGAATATAGTCTGGTCAGATGAGACCAACATTGAACTGTTTGGATGCCAGAATATACTCCTGATCAAAATCTTAAAACCAGTCAAAAAAGTTGCGTGTTCGATATGTTTTCCCTGTGCCATTCCACATTATTACAAATAACTTCATTTCTGGACATTTATGGTTAGATTCCTTTGTATGTATGGATCACTTGGGTTGTTACCAATATCTGGTGAAAATTTCATGTCATTAGCACCTCTAGTAATATATTTACTGAGAAAAATGGTGACGTGTTCAATACTTATTTTACCCGCTGTATATCATATTTTAGTAAGGCAGAATTTTAGGAAAAAAAGTAAGAAAAAATACCTTATTTTACTTTTAATGAAATGGGAAAATTCTCAGGAAGGACTTGCAGGTGCTCTGCCCCATTAGCACTTCTCTTCCTCTCCATGATAAAATGCAGCGAGGCACCTATGACACCAGGCAAGATGTAGTACACACCTGCCGGTCCTGTATAATACAGCTGCATGTTGCAGTATTTATTCCCATCAGTTCACGTGATGCGGTACAGTCAAAACATTAAAATCTATTCATTCTTACAAACCAGTTCACACCATTTCTTTGGGTTTTCCATTCCATTAAAACCACATTATTGTATTTTCACAATTGACAATGCATCATTACTTCTGTTAGTTTGGATGCAGAAGTCCTTCCAATACAATTCTGGCATGGTGAGGCAGACTGAGCTTGTTATATTTAGTCAGACAGCAAGTCTGCTGCTAATGAATGCTGCTGGCACGGTGTCTGTGAGCCCAGAGGAGATTACAGGGAACACTGGTAATGTGTGTCCTCTCTGAAAATGAGCAAGACAACAACCCAGAAAGAATGACAGACAGACCCACATATTGCAGAGACACTAAGAGACACTTTACCACTGGGCATTGTTTTTATAGCTCAATCCTACTGGGTATTAGCACTTAAAATTGATATGATTTCATTTACTTACTGCTAAGTTTTTTAAAATTGTCAAATATCTTATCAGTTTCAGAGACTAAAGAAAAAAAGACAGCGTAATACTGCTGGTAACTGATCCATTATGACAGCTCAGCCAGAGCGTAGAGTAGCTATTGTGTTGCTGTTTACAGATAAGTGGGTAGAAAGTTTTACGATTGTGCCCCCGGGCTTCAATAACGGATATCCAGAACAATAGAGAAACTGTTATGTTCCTGGGTTTCTTTTCCACTTAAATAGGCTGAGTGTGTCACATCTGATAAATCTATTTTACTAAACTATGCCCCCCCCCCCCCCCCCACACACACACACACACACCTTTATATACCCAGGCTCCAGTTTTGTGGTAACACAACTGCTGCCAGCATTGTCATTTATCTGTTATGAGCAGCTTATTAAAAAAACACAAGTGCCAAGTTTAAAGGGAAAGTTCACATCTTTTGGAGAGGGGTTTTGTAGAAAGTAATGAACAATTAAAACTCTATTAGACTCTTTTAATGACCTAAGTCTGGATGAACATCTTTAAATCCTAACTGCACTGAAGAGCTCGTCTAAACAGAGCTACGCTCAGTTGTTGCCATTTTAAAACAACTTCACTCAAAACTTTTGTAGAAGTTTGCATGACTGTCATTTTAAAAAATCTAAGCATCGTCATCAGTTTTTGACCTACATAGTTATTGCAGCATTTTGTTTACCAAGCTGCACTGGAAACACTACAGCTACTTGCTACTGTCGAAATTTGATGTAAACAATCACCGTAAAATGAACTGAATTCATAAAATATTTTGCATGCATAAGGAGCTATGACGTTATTTTTTTAAATTGAAGTTGTTCCAAAACAGCAACAATCTCGGCCCCACTTAAACTATTAGCTCCTCTGTTTTGGCAGCATGAAAATAAGGCAACTAAAGTATAAAACATATTCATTTGTAGGCATTCTTATCTTACTCTTACCTTACTGTATTTGTCCTGACATGTTGGTATTTTGTTACTACTTTATTAATCACGCCACCTTTTCTCATTTTCAGGTTTTACAACATTACAGCTTTTGTTAATATTCATAATACTGGTTTTTGGGATTAAGACAAGTACGGTTAAGCTTTTCTCACTCAGACTCAACTTTTGTAGAAATAAAAGCTGATTTTGTATTGATACTGACTAATTATCTCTCTCTTTCAGGGTCTGACTTTCAATGTACCACCCACATCATCCCGGTGAAGAATGAAGAAGGCGTGGTTATAATGTTCATCCTGAATTTTGAACTTGTCCTGGAAGAGGGAAGTGACCGCTCCACAGAGAATATAAGCCCAGCTTCCCCAACAAAGTCCGATCAAAGTGAGTATTAGACACAGTTTTGTGATGTAGTGGTGGTTTTATGGTAGCTTTTCTCCTTTTACTGTTTTTTTTATTATCTATTGAACCTAAAAATATCATTTCAAGGTGTCTTCCAAAAAGTTATACAGCACTAAATGCTACATATGAATTCGAGTTGAACACGGTAAAACTTTGCAWGGTTGTTAAATATCTTAATAAAACATAATTTCTCATAAAGCCTAGCATCATAATGACTGAAATGAAATAGCAGATTTTTACATCTGGTAAACACAATGTTACCACTGGAGAGTTTGTCAGCTGTCTTAAAGTGTAACTATCAAGCATGTTGCCTGCATTTGAATCCATAAACTACATGCATTATTTAGCCCAGCACTGTACAGTTCACATCCACAGCAGTAACAAGCTCTGTGTGCATGGAGAGAGCAGTCTGCATAATCTTAATCTTGATTAAAAAAATGCTTAGTTTTTCAGTTTATCATCCCTTTTTGGGTCATTTGCATTTAGTTAGCATTTGCATTTGTGTCAGGAGGTGTAACTACTAATGAGAAAATTCTGTTTTTTAATGGATGCATTCAGCATCTCTGATCAGACTTCTCATCTAAGAATTATTTAAGATTTTTCTGCCATATGAATTCCCCCAATAATTTAATGGTGAGCTTGAGCTGCAGTGTGTGTATGTGAATTTTAAGTATCTGTATTAATGTGCGTGCATGTCCCTGTGCCAACATTGCTAATCAGACTTGATGGTTTGCTCTGATGTTTCAGCAAGAGAACCTGTGGGTACATGAGAGAGATGAGCATATAATGTGACTTCAAATTAATGGAGTCAGAGAAAACTGAAACTTCTAAATACACACATCACACTTACAGTCTGACCTCAACACTGTCTTTGACTTTGAGCTTCTGTTATGCAACAGCAAGAAATCAAAAGGAATGTTATGCTAGACTTGGTTGAGAGTTGAAAAAAACATTGTTTTATGCAGTGCATTGTGATCTTGTTTATCATCTTTATCAAACTAAAAAATCATTAATAAATTATTTATTTTACTGTGTAATGGGATGATGATTACACACACACACACACACACACACACACACACACACA